AGGCAGTCACTCAGCAGGAAGGGGCAGTGGTGGAGAGGAAGGGTGACCAAAATTACGTTGTGACAGCCACATAGTTCTGAAGAGTGTCACCATGACGGGGTGCCTATGCGGCCTAACTCAGCTGACAGGTGCTGAGTCCCGGGCTCTGCTGTAATTCTTTGTTTACCAGCATCTCCTCCCACTCAACTGTGTGCTCCCTGAGGGCAAGGCCCTGTGTTACTCATCTGGGTAGCCCTAGCACACTGAGGAGGCTTGGCAAACGTGTGGAAGGATGAGGTAGACAGGTGTCACCGGCAGTGTGCTTACAGCATCCATAACTCCTGCAGGGCCAACTCCCAGGGCTGCTTCCCCAGCCCAGATTTGACCTCCAATATCCTAAAGCATTTGACTGCTAACCAGAAGGCTGGCAGTTCAAACCCACCAGCCACTCCTTTGAAGCAACACTGGGCAATCTATTTCCGTACTGATACCTCTGAGAAACCTAAGGAGGGGTCACTGTGAGTCAGACTGACTCGACGGCAGTGAGTTTGGTTTTTTGTTTTTATCAGCCCTGGGTGTCTTGGTGGCCCCTCAAACTCACCATGGCCCTCCTCCTCCTCCCCAAACCATCAACCCAGAAAATGACACTGCCACCCACCCAGGCACTCAGGGTAGAGACACCTTTCAGATCCCCCAATTACAGTCCAGCTAAGTCTAACTCTTATGTTGTTCTGAATCCATCTGGGCTATCACACCCAAGTCCAAATCCTACAGGCAGGCCCTTGCCTAAGAGACTCTTCAGCTTCCCATGGGTCTCCCTGTTTCACCCCTGCCTATGTCCCACCCACGCCCTCCACTCCTCACAGCTCACTCCTGCCTCATGGGGCCTGAGACCTTGCCAGGGCTCCTGCTATCTTCCAGATACAGTCCATAACTGTCCAAGGAGTGGTCGTGAAGATCTGGCCCCCACCAGGGGAGCTGCCCCCTCTACCTCACTCCAGGCTCCCTCCAGGCTCTGGGGTACAGCCTGGGCCCCTGCTGGCTCCTCAGCCATGCTAGGTCCCCAGCATCTCACTCGTTCCCTCCCTTCTCGGTGTCGTTTCATTGTCTGACCTGGTGCCTCCGCTCTAGAAGGGCCAGGACTGTGTCTGTCTTGTTCATCACTGACTCCCTGTGGCTGAACATACCCAGTCCCTTTGAGTGGATTCCAACTCACAATGACCCTATAGCACAGAGCAGAACTGCCCCACAGGGTTTCTTCCAAGGATGTAAATCTTAATGGAGAGGCTGATGGGTTCAAACTGCCAAGTTTTTGGTTAGCAGCCGAATGCTTTAACCACTGTACTACCAGAGCTCCCTGACATACTACAGGCACTCAATAAATGTTTGTTGAATGCATGCATGACTGAGTGGAGGGCAGGGCAGAAATTGTGTCTTAGGTCTCAGTAAATACGATACCAGGCACAGTACTTAGAACACGGTATGTGGTCAGTAACTGTAAGTTGAATAAGTGAGAGAATATGGAAGAATGAAGAGGGAGCAAAGGAAAATAGAAGGAAAAGACTATCAGCCAAGACCCACAAGTTCTGCCTCAAGACTTACCCAGTCTGCTGGGCAGCCCTGCCCTTCTACTCCCTCAGCCCCCCGCCCCTTGTCATTAACTCTTCTAGCACCAGCAGTTCCAATACACCATGTATGTTGCACAGCACATTACAGTTTACAAAATACTCTCACATACACACCCTTATTCAAGTCCCTCAATCATCTAATGAGTCCCACTCTGCCCAGACTAGTCCCTTCAAGAGAGCTGTGTGGGCATTGACAAATTCCTTGACTTCTCTGAGTCAGATTCCTTATCCATGAAATGGGCATTAGCCCACCTACCTCTCGGGAAGGTGAAGAGGATGGTTACACCACACATATAAACCACCCAGCATGGGGCCTGCTCCTGGACCCGGTTTAATAAGCCACAGTTACATTCCTCCCTGATCGGGTGCCTCGCCCCAAATCAGAGATCTGCACTGTAGCTTCCTGATGCCAAGGGCCGCATTCTCGCTAGTTAGACCAGTCCGTTAGGGGAGCTATGTGGCTGCTGCCCTGTGGGGGCCACGGATTGGGGGCCGGCTTGGGGGCCCAGCCTCTCGCACAGAGACCAGCCACAAACTCCTTCATCTAAAACAACACCCATCCCCTTCTCGGGGCTTCCAGGAGCCCGGGATACTCCGGGGCGCCTGCAGACCCACGAAGGCGGATAAGGGGGAACCCCAAGTCTGCCTCTCTCATTCTGCTCTCCTGGCTTCAGGAATTCCGATCCGGGCCTCTCGCCCCAGCTCGCGCCCCAGGACGCCGGGCGGGCGGCTCTTGGTGAGAAACAAAAAAAAGTCCTGGTCCCGAACATCTCGGATGGCCACCTCTCCCTCTCCCTCTCCCGCGTCCCTGGCGCGACCTCCCTGGGGACGAAGTTGACATTTTCCCCTCGCCATACCCCCCAAGGCCCGGCGCAACCAGCGAAGGCCAAGAACGACTCCCAGAACACCCCGGTTCTTCCACCCCGACCACCCGTGCCTGTCACTGACCCATCTTCTTCAACGCCCGCAGCCCGGGCCTCTTGGTGCCGCCGTCCGATGGCGCGGGCTGGGGCAGCAGCGCAACTGGCGCCGCCACCTGGGCCGGCACCGGGGGCTCCTCGGCGTGGCGGCAGCTCCTCCAGCGACCGCACAGCATGGCTCGGAGGGCCGGGGCCGGGCCCGGGGTCTGCGCACGGGAACAGGGCAGCAGGGACAGCGCTCCGGCCCGGCCCCGGCTCAGCCAGCGGTTGTGAGCAAACAAACTTAGCGGCACTGCGAGGCGGCAGAGAGGAGCCAGATCCAGTAACCCGGAGGGAGGGGCAAGGAGGAGGGGGCGGGGCCGAGGACGGCGGAGGGCGGTGCAAGGCGGCGCTCGGGGTGTGTGTGTGTGTGTGTGTGTGTGTGTTTTGGGGGGGCGTTGAACCCAGGCCAGGCCAGCCTTTCCCGCGTCCCCCAGAGTTTCTGCGTTCGCTTGCTGCTCCCCCTTCGCTGAGCGATCACCGGTAGCCACATTCCCAATTCCGTGGGGCGCGCAGGAGGGGCGACGGCTGCACTCTGGCACAGACACCCTGTTCTTCCTGGGACCCTAAGGCAGTGCAGATTCTGGGCCTCTCTCCACCCTCCTCCTCACACTATCCCCGGGAGGCCTCAGAAGGGAACCAGACCACTGGGGTGGGAGGTGTTGGCAGGGTGGCTGGTAGTCCTGGGGCCGAGGAACATAGGCTAGGGGAACCGGAATGGGAGAGGCGAGAAAGGTTCTGTCGGTGACGTCATAAAATTCCCTGCGCCCGGCCAGCTGCCACCCCTCAGTGGTGGAAGTCTCGAAGCTGAGTAGTCTGGACGCGATGGGGTGCCACTAGGTCTAGAGTCCCAGGCAACTGGTTCTGGGATTCGAGCCTTAGACAAGTCTGCACCCTACCCGGCGTTCGATGGTCCCGAGACGGCCGCCGAATGGCGCGTAGGTGTCCATGACATCACCCGTCAGTGCGCGTTCCCATGGGATTCGCATGATAACCGTGTCATGTGTGTATGTAATATATATGTAAGCACTACGGCATGTATTCCAAAGGTGAGCTGATTAAGGATGCATTGAATATATCTTTGTGCCTTGGGTCAGGAGTGAAGAGTCGGCGCACAGCGCCACTCGCAGGCGGGCAAACGTGTGGCACACCGAAGAGAAAGCTTAGTTTATCAGAACTAAGATTTGCCATCAACTTGTCTCCTTGCTCTATCCTATTCTCGGAAATCCCCCACCCAGACATTCCACATAGTGACTCGGGTCCCCATGCCCCTCTGGGGTTCTGAATTTTCTTCCTGAATGTCCGATATTCACCTCTGTACATTTGATACTGCAGTTCCTTTTTCAGGAATGACCTTCATTCTTCTCTTGGCTTACTTTTGTTAGTTGTGTCAGCTCCTATCCCTTCTCCTAAAAGCCTGACTCCAGGACAAGACTCTCTTTCTTATCCCTAGCGCCTGATTAGGAGCTCTGGTGGCATAGTGGCTAAGGCATTTGACTGCTAACCAGAAGGCTGGCGGTTCAAACCCACCAGCCACTCCTTGGAAGGAAGATTGGGCAATCTACTTCCTTAGAGATACCATCGCTATAATTAGATATCTGACTTGGGTCTTTTCGAACCCAGGGGGCAGAGCTAAACCGCCAGACCTGGGTTTACCACCAGGTGGCGCGAGAACTGAGCGTCATTTCAATATGTCCACCAGAGGGCACTGCCGCACCGCTTCTAGCCATCCGTGGGTGGGAATCCAGACCCTCACTTTCGCTCCGTCTAATTGGGAGAGGCACCGTGAAGCTATTTGCATAATCTTGAAAGAGCCGCGCTGAGTGGTTGGGATATAGAAGCCGAATGTGAAACGGGTTCTTCTATTGGCTCAAATTTCTCCCCTCGCTCATAGTCACCATCCAGGCCAGTTGGGGCCCGGAGGTCAGTCGGAGGCCGCCGGCAAGTGCCGAGAGAGGACCCGGGTGTCCCGCAGTGGACGCCGCGGGGTGAGTGCAGAGCGACCGGGTCGGGGTAGGGGGGTCCAGGGTGAAACACTGTTCCTTCCGCCCTGACTCCTCCTCACTTGCCCCTTCGTCGGTCTAGGAGCTGGGGATGCGTACCTAAAGAGGAGCATCTGGGCCCATATCTGATACTGGACACTTTCCACTTACCTCTCTGCCCATCCACTGGGGCTTCCAGAGGTCTCCGACACCCTGGCTCCACCCACGCTGCTTTGGGGTAGGAAACGGAGTCTCCCTCGGCCTCATCTTAACTAGCCCAGACCTCCCGGGAAATACCACTCAGGCCTCTAAGAGCTTGGTTTGCCCTCCTGGAAAATGGATCAGTGACTTATGGAGGTGTGGACCGGGTGGGCCCCGCAGGCCAGCTTTTAGGGGACTTGTTCTTGCTGCATCTCTCAAAAGTAGGGTTCCAGAGCTCGGAGCAGCTGGGTATGGGCACCGAGAATAAAGGCCCAAAGCCAGATTGCCAGAAGCAGTTCCAGGCCGCGGTCAGCGTCATTCAGAGCTTGCCCAAGAATGGTGAGGCAGTGGGAACACCGTTGTTGCTGTGGTTGTTGTTATGTACCATCTAGTCGGACTCGACCCATAGCGACCCCTCCTTGGGTTTTCGAGGCGGTATCACTAGGGAAGTAGATTGCCCAACCTTCCTTTCCAGTGGGTTTGAACCTCCAGCCTTCTGGTTAGCAGTCAAGAAGTGCCTTAGGCACTACGCTCATAGCTGCTTGGGAACACCAGGACCTGCATTTATTTGGGGTGTCAGGCCTGCTGGGATCTGGCCTCTGAGGAGGAAGTGGCTCTGATCCCTGAAGTTCCTACAGAAAAGACCCTGCCTGGGCTGCCCTCTGGGACCCCTCTGCCATCTGGCCCTGCCCAGCTACCCTGGATGGGATCCCTCACCGACTCTATCCGTTCCAAGGGTGGTTCTCCTCCATCTTCATCCTCCTAGAGTGGGAGATAATGCTCTGCCCTCCACTTCCCAAACCCCCTGCCCAGGCTCTTACCACCCCTCCTACGAAGAGATGCTGCGATTCTACAGCTACTACAAACAGGCTACCATGGGGCCCTGCCTGGTTCCCCGACCTGGTTTCTGGGACCCCATTGGACGCTATAAGTGGTGAGCTCCCCATGGGCGGGGCAAGCGAGTCTCAGCTGTCATCCAGCCCTCTCACAGCCCTCTGCCCCCAGGGATGCCTGGAACAGCCTGGGCAAGATGAGCAGGGAGGAGGCCATGTCTGCCTACATCGCTGAGATGAAGGTGGTGGCGCAGAAGGTACAGGGTTGGGCTGCCCGCCAAGCCCCCATCCCATTGGCCTGCCCCCTTCCCCTCTAGTGCTGACCCTGTTTATGTTTTCCTGCACACTGACTAATCCACCATGGGGATCACCACCTATATGCTTCCTCCCAACGCTCTGAAGCCCATCTCTTATCCCTGCCTGGGAAAAGGTGGAGGGCCCAGCTGGGGGGACACAGGTGGGAGCAGCACATGGTTAGCTCCCCCAACAGCCCCCCTCACCCACAGGTGATCGACACAGTGCCACTGGGTGAGGTGGCAGAGGACATGTTTGGTTACTTCGAGCCCCTGTACCAGGTGATCCCTGACATGCCAAGGCCTCCGGAAACCTTCCTGAGAAGAGTCACAGGTTAGGCCCCCAGGCTGGGAGCTCAGCCAGTGCTGAGTTGGCTGGAGGTGGAGGTGGGCATGCTGGAGGCAGAGGGCTCCAGGTGAGGACCCTGCAAGAACGCCACCAGTGGAATGGGTCTCGGGCAGTGTGTGGAGCTGCTGGGGGACAAGGCTACTAGCCTCCCTACAAAACGCACCTCTGGGTGCTGGATCTCAGCAGGTCAGAAAGAGCGAGTACTGAATGGAGATGTTGGGGCTGACCGGGAGCCTCCCTGCGCCCCCAAGGAAGCAGCCCATCCAAGTCCAGGTCAGTGCCGGGGCAGCAGGGGCAGAGAGCCAAATCCTGATGGTAGTCCTCCAGGTGGGGTGGCAGGGGGAAGGCTGGATGCCACACTTCGCCCTTCACACTTGATGCCCACTGACACTGGGATGGCCTGTGCTTCCAAAAGCCAGGGTGCAGGTTCAGGGACTCCTGTGTCTGGGCCTCATTTATGTGTGTGACCCATTTGTGTCCCTTGTGGCAATATTTCCACTGCTCCCAAACAGGTCCTATGTTCAGCTGCGTGTTCCTCCAGTCCCTCTGTAGCCTCCCTCTTGTCAATAAATCTACCTACCCCTTCCCCAGAGTCCCAGCCACCCAGGGATCTGGACTCCGAGGTTTTCTGTGATTCCCTGGAGCAGCTGGAGCCAGAGCTGGTGAGACCACCCCCATTCTTCCCCCTTCCCTGCCTCCATGGTGCCCTGGCTGCTTCCACCCACCCTCGGGCCTTGGCCTTGTGACTCCTCTCAACAGGTCTGCACAGAGCAGAGCGGAGCACCTGCAGAAGTGCCTGATGCCAGAACCAGCCCTGGCTCCCCTAGAGAAAAAGGTGAACCCCTGCCTGATCCTTCACCCTCCTCTGCCCTTCCCAGTAGTGCCCAGGCCTCCCCAGCCGCCCTCTAGGGCAGAGGGGAAAGTCCAGCACTGGGCACTGAGGGAACCACCTCTGTCACAGGCAGACAGCCATCTGGGTGGGCAAAGTCCCTGCCCTGCCTCCTGTCCATGAGAGGAGCCCGCAGCCTTTACCAGTGCTGAGAAGGGATGGGAGTCCTATCCCAATTCTGTCACTTACAGCTTCATGGTTGAGGGAAGTTGTCTCTCTCTCTGGGCCACCCTTTTGGGAATCTCCAAAGAGATTGAGTCCTGCCCTACCCTCCTTGTAGAACTTCCTGTGTGTGAAAGCCCATAGGGGCGTTTTGCCTTATTGCCTTTATTTCTCAGAGCAAGCAACTCTGTGAGGGAAAAGGCATCTTACTCTAATTTTCAAATGACAAAATGTGACTCAAAGAAGTTAATGATTTGCCCAAAGTCACACAGCTAGTAAGTGGTAGTGCCAGGATTGAAGCCTCTGGCAGCCCATTACTCAGCCACGCAAATGGCCTGTGTAAGAGCTGCCCTCAGATTGCATTTCATGACTGCACTTCCATGGCTGAGCCCCAGCCTGCTCCTAGCTAAGCTGCCTCCTGAGTGCCCCTCTGTGTCTGTGCTCTGCAGAGGGCTTGGGGGGCAGTCTGCTGGGACCCCAGGCATTGGACATGTGGCTGGTGGGGACAGTTCGGGCGCTGCAGGAGAGTATGCGAGATGTCCAGGGGAGACTGCAGAGCCTGGAAAGTATGCCCCACCTCCACAAGCAGGTGAGGCCCCCCAACCCCATTAAGACTGGGGCAGACTTCTGGGTGTCCCGGTTACAGCCTCCTTACCCAGCTGCCTTTGTCTTTGTCCCTGTGCCTCTGCCCACCCACAGCCTGCCTCTTCCAGAGAATGGTGTGGCTCACGTGGCAAGCAGGGAAGCCAGGAGGGAGTCTGAAGTGCCTCCAGCCCATAAGAGAGAGTGGGGAGGGCCTTCCCTTTCATGGTGTTCTTACCTTCTCTGCTGGAGAGAAAGGAGCAGGAGAACCAGTTCTGAGCTGGGAAGGCTGGGAGGTGTCTGCTCCTTGCACTGGGGCCCTTGTTGCTCCTCAAGTCAGGCTGCATTTGTTCCCAGACTTAGGGTTTCCCCTCAAATGGATCAGTCCTTGCATCCCTCACCCCTTCTTGGTGCCTAGATCTGCTTGCCCCTTATATCTTGTTTTCTGGGTTCCTGCAAAATAAGTCACAGCTGCTATTTCTGGAGCCTCAGCTGTGGGCCAGACTTGCTCCTTGCATTATCTCATTTAATCACATGTCAACCCTATGAAATAGGTTTTCTTTTCATCTCCTTTTTACAGATGAGTAAACTAAGGCTCTGAGAGGTTGAGTAATTTTCCTGAGGGTGCACAGCCTGGAAGATCCTCAGAGAGCTGCTGTGAGGATTAGGCTAGATAATGCATGCAGGTGCTTCCATGACTGCAGCCCGTGGCGGTTATTACTAACATTAGATAATGCAGCTGCCAGTGGCCCCAGGTCTGTCTCCCCCTAAAGCTGGCACCCATCATTAACTCTGAGTGGGTCTGTTCTTGAGAAGTTTGGGATAGTAGGGACTGGAGAGGGCTGAGTTACTGGGTGACTAATAACCCACTTGGTACAATGGTTGTTAACCAGGGTTGTAGGAATGTCCTTGGACCCACAGGAGCCCACCTTTCATCACCCCCCACACCCACACAGCCTTTTTTTTTTTTCACCTTTTACTAATATTATATGCTGAGTTTTAAGTGGATTATAGACATCATGGGGAGCTCTGGTGGTATAGTGCCTAAGGCATACTGCTAACCAGAAGGCTGGCAGTTCAAATCCACCAGCCACTCTATGGAAGGAAGACTGGGCAATCTCCTGTAGAGATAGCACCTCAGAAATCTAAGGTCGCCATGAGTCAGATTTGACTCAACGGCAGTTGAGTTTTGGTTTTATAGACATCATGGGATCCCATGGGTGGTGCAAACGGTGAACATGCTTGCATGCTAACTGAAAGATTGGCAGTTCAAGTCCACCCAGAGGTGCCTTGGAAGAAAGGCCTGGCAATCTCCTTTAGAAAAATTAACCATTGAAAACCCTCTGGGGTACAGTTCTACTCTGGCATACGTGGGGTCGCCAGGAGTCGGAATGGGTTCAACACCATCTGGTAATTGGTAGAGCCATTGTAATGTTCCCCTTTTAAATGCTTGGGCTTACTTCTCTAAAAATAGAATATTTTACAGCCTAACCAAAACAACGTTTATCATGCAACTACTTAATATCATTTAACACCTAATCCAAATCCAAATTTCCCCAGTTGTTCCAAGATTGCCCTTTCCAGCTGCTTTGCTAGTCCAGGCCCACACACCCCATTTTATGTTTCTTAATGCTTTCTCATCTAGAATAGTCCCTGTTTCTCGACTCTGATGTGCTAATGAGAATGGGCCAATGGGCCTGTAGAATGTTCCATCTGCTGGGTTTGTTTATTGAGCTGGTTCCTCTGTATATTTTATTTCCTGTGAACTACAAGTCAGTTAGATCTAAGGGCTAGATTAAAGTCAAGTTAAGAGAGTTTTAACCAGATTACATTAGAGGTGATGTCCTTCACATCAGGGGACACATGATACCCAGATGTCTCACCAGTGGTGTTTCAAGCATGGGCAACTTTCATGGAATAAGAGGGTAATGGACTGATCCCACCATTATAAAGTCACTTTTCCTTCTTGCAGCCAAGGAATAGTCTCTGTTGTATTATCTTGGCCCTTCACAAATGCCCAGTTCCCTGCTAACCCCATTTGCCAAATGGTTTTTAACAGCAAATGGTAAGCCTTGCATGAATCAATAATTTACTTAGTGGTTTCAAAGAATGTTGATTTTTATTATTCCTTTAACATTTATTAGCTGTCATTTTTCTATAAAGCAGAACTTTCTCTGTTCATCTAGAGTTTCCTTATGGAAAAACAGGATAAATGCTTAATTTTTTCTATTTTAAAGTAAATAATTGAGTTAACAGTTGGAGCTAAAGCATTCGGCTGCTAACCAAAAGGTCAGTGGTTTGAACCCACCAGCCGCTCGCAGGAGAAAGATGAGGCAGTCTATTTCCATAAAGATTCACAGCCTTGGAAATCCTATCAGGCAGTTCTACTCTGTCTTGAAGGGTTGATCAATGGCAGTAAGTTTGGGTGTTTTTTTTTTTTTTTTCAGTGGTGACAAATTTACACCAGTTTTCTCTTCTTTGAGTATCATTATGGACTCATGGATTTTTAACACTGTTTCAATCAATAAAAAACTCACTGCTGTTGAGTTGGATCCAACTCATAGCAACCCCTCCTTGGGTTTCCAAGACGGTATCACTATGGAAGTAGATTGCCCAATCTTCCTTCTGAGGAGTGGCTGGTGGGTTTGAACCACCAGCCTTCTGGTTAGCAATCAAACGCCTTAGGCACTGTGCCACCAGAGCTCCCATTTCATTTGATGGCAATCATCACTCTTTTTGATGGTCAGACTGTCACAGCTTTGTCCAGTAGAGATCTTTCAAGCTGGGTCCTATGTACTTATAACCAAACCCACTGCTATGGAGTCAACTGCAACTCATAGTGACCCTTTAGGGCAGAACTGCCCCCTAGGGTTTCTAAGGCTATAAATCTTTACAGAAGCAGACTGCTTCATCTTTCTCCCACAGAGGTTGATAGGTTGAAACCACCAACCTTTTGGTTAGCAGCTGAATGCTTTAACTACTGCACCACCAGAGCTCCTTACCCCATTAGCCTTTAAAAACTTCCTTACTTTCTGGTATACAAGCTGTCCCACATTCACCTCTACCTTCCCTGCCCCAAACCTGGAATTAGCCACTTCTCCAAGAAGCCTTGGATGCTTTTAGTGGGAAATGGTACTGAGAAACAGAAACTGAGTGTCCAGGTCCTCCTTTGAAGTATGTTGCAATATGGGGTCTTCAGATCCTATCAACAAGGTCATTGCTTTGTGGCCCAGAGGAGACAGACTGGAGGCCATCCTTCCATATGCAGCCCCTCCCCAACCTTGGGTTGTCCTGGGCAGATGTGGGAGTTAGAGCTCAATATGTCAGGGACACACTGTGGGCCCCTTCCTTGCCAGACTCCTGGGGGAGGAGCTCCTCTGCCCCAGTCCTCACAGCTTTGGGGAGGCAGAGCTCTCACTAAGTCAGGAAACTTTGAGGCCTGGGCTGCTCCCTGACTCCCTCCTCTTGGCAGCAGAGGCCCCCACGCAGTGCACGGCCTTGGCCCCTCAGGCTCTCAGGTCCCACGCTGCTCTTCTTCCTCCTGTGGCCGTTCTTTGTCCAGTGGCTCTTCAGACAGTTTCGGACCCAGAAGAGGTGACTTTCCATGGAGGGGTCTCTGCAGCCAACTGCAGAGGCGAGCTACCAGATCCCTGCTTTGCTGTGCCTTCAGCTTTCTTAGAGTTGTGAGAAGGCAGCATTCAAAAATCACTCCCCATCAATGTTTGCCTTGACACCCTCTCCCTTAATGCCCTTAATGGGGTCTGGGTACGACCCTACCCTTCCCTGCATCATCCCAGGAACGCTTCCCCCACCACTGCCCATCCTCCAGTAGGAGGCTGCATTGTGGTGCACGTTCCCGCTTCGGAGTCAGCTGGTGACATTGGGCGGGGCTGCCAGGTCTCAACCCCTGCCCTCCCCACTCTAGGTCACCTGACTCTTTCCGCCCCAGCCTCTCCCCTGGAGGCTGGGCTCTTGGGCAAGTTGGGACTAGGGCCCAGGTCTGGGCAAGTGATTGGCTGGAAGGCTGGGACAAGTTGGGGAAAGGGAGGTGCAGGCCTCGGGGGAGGGGAGTAAGCACCGATTTTGCTTGACCCTTCCCCCACACACACTCAGTACCTCTTCGCTGAAGATTCACTTTACAAATGAATGTTTCACTAAATAAAATCTTAATCTTCTGCCGTCTGTGCTCCCACAGTGAGGCGAGAAGCTCGGGCCAGGGCGCGCGAGGCACCCCTTCCCTGCACCCACACTCCTACCCCAAACCCTTCGTTGAAGGCCCGAAGGAAGCTGGGGTTGATGTTTTTCAATCAGGAATATTTTCCCTGAGAGACAGAGAGAGAGAGAGAGAGAGAGAGAGAGAGAGAGAGAGAGAGAGAGAGAGAGAGAGAGCAAGAGTCTCTAGTCTGGAAGGGAGGCGGGGCGGGAGCCAGGCCCCCTGGCGCCCGGGGCGGGGCGAGGCGGGGTGGGGGGAACGCCAGGGGTGAGGAAGGAGCTGGGGGCCAACACAGCATCTAGGGTGGGTGGGGCTGAGGGCGCAGCCGCGGCTCCGCCCCCCTGCCCGTCGGGGGCTTGGTCCGGGGGAGCCCGGGGGTAACGGGGGAAAAGAAACACGGGCAGGGGCGGGGCGTTGGGTTGGCCTTGGCCAGAGTGAGGGATGGCTGCACCCAGCTCTGCGGCCTGGACGTGGGGCGGAGGCTCCGAGACCCCGGTCCCGGAAGCTGCCGCCTCCCGTTGCCTAGCCGTCCATTCCCGCTGCCGTATCCCCTTGACCTCCGTACTCGTGCTTTCCCAGGGAACTTTCTGGAAGAGCACCACCCGGCGGGAACCATGTCCCCGCCCTTCCGTGAGGAGTGGGAAGAGGCGCCCTGCGCGGCCCGGAGCCCCCGCACGGACCTCTGAGTGCTTAATTAATTTTTCTCACCGGCCTAGTGGCCTTGGCTTCCCTCTGATCATTGCTAACCTTGTCGTTCCCTCTGGGCAGCCCTGGCTCCAGCCACGGGCCTGCATTCGGTGGCAGAACTCGCCACTCTGAGCGCCTCCTGGTGTCCGGCCACTGGCCAGCATTCCATCTTGCAGGAGACCAAAGCAACTCTCACATCCGCGTGACCCCAGAAGAGAGAGTTACCCCTGGGTGAGGAAGAGGCAGTTTTGAAGACTCCTCCTTGGAGACACTTAAGCTCTTGAGTTCCCTGTCAACCCCTGGCCTTGACTGTGACTTGGGGCTTGACCATGATTTGCACCACCAGAAGCTATGGTCACTCTGTGCATCAGCCCTCCCAAGGTGAAGAGGGTCTGCCTCAAGTCACACACACTCCCTGCTGCTCCAAAGGACTCAGCCAGGGTAACAGAGAGGCTGCAGAAAAGTCCTTGTGATAAGCAGGGAACTAGAGACAAAATCCTTGCCAGGGATGTAGGAATGGGCCCAAAGCAAGCTCCACTTGCAGACAATAGCTCTGTGGCCTTGGGCAAGATTCTTAACTTCTTTGAGATTGGGTGGTTTTGTATTTAAAGTAAGAGATGCTGCTCTCTTCACCACAAGGCAGTCCTGCTGTTTAACTGATCAGGGCATGTAAAATGCCCTGCCAAGAGTTAGAACTCAGCAAATACAAGGGATTGGCCCCCTTCTTTGATACAATTCTACAAAGCTCCACAAAACCTATCAGTCTGAACACATTCCCCATCACCACCACCTCCATCTTGATTTGACAAATGAGTACATACACTTGAGCCCTGCCAGTGAGCTGAGGCTTCACTCAGCTTTATCTGGGGGTACCCAGAAGTCCTCTGGAGTCTGAAAATGTGGTAACAATTTGGAGGTCCCCTACTCCCTGCTGATCTACAAAAACCCTTTATCTCAGGCTGTTCCTAGGCTAAGGAGCTCTGATGGCATAGTGCCTAAGGCATTTTGACTGCTAACCAGAAGGCTGGTGGTTCAAACCCACCAGCCACTCCTTGGAAGGAAGACTGGGCAACTTCTGTAGATACACCACCTCGGAAACCCAAGGAAGGGTTGCTACAGCAGTGAGTTTGGATTTTTTTTTTTGGTTCCTTGTATAAGGGGTCAATTCTTGCCCTCAGGGAGTCACCTGCTTGATGGGTGGAAAGGCACTTTGGCAGGCTTTTCAGAAAGACCTGAGTTCTTGGAAGTCCAGGGAAAATGTGGATGAATCAGGGATGGTCAATCCGAGAACATTTGTTTTGCCCCAGAGGCACTCTGCTTGCCTCTCACTTTGGAGACACAGGGCATGTCCATCACTCCTGCCCCACCATACACCTTACATTGCCCCATAGACCCACTCCTGAGTTCCCAGACAAGGCCTTTCTTTGGACATGACGCTTGATCTTCATAGAATGCCCTCTTCATGACACTCTGCCTGGAAAAACTCTTCATCCTTTGAAACCTAGCCAAGAGCCATCTTCTCTAGGAAAACTGTCCACAACTCCCAGCTCCCATCCATCTTGGCTCAAAGTCCTACCATGATTTTCTTCACTTGCCATGGTGGCTCTTTTCTTACTGCATTGTGATTTGGTGGCCACTGTACACCGTCCATGAACAACCTGAGGGGGCAGGGATGATATCTCATCTCTCTGCCCTCCTAACAAATGTTTGCCAAGTGAAGAAGGAATACAAACAAACAAACAAACAACAACAACCAAAAAAACCTCACTGCTGTGGAGTTGGATCCGACTCATAGCGACCCCTCCTTGGGTTTCTGAGGCAGTATCACTACTGAAGCAGACTGCCCAACCTTCCTTTCAAGGAGTGGCTAGTGGATTTGAACCACCAGCCTTCTGTTTTAGCAGTCAGATACCTTAGGCACTACACCACAAGAGCTCCTGAAGAAAGAATAAGGGCCTGAATTATGTTGAAGCTGGTGAGAGTTGAAAAGGAGCTAAATCCAGAGTTCTTGAGAAAGGAGACTTTAAGAGACCGTGTGTTTGTGACAGAAAGCAAAATAGCACAGTGACCATAAGGACCCGTGCACTAGCTGGAGTTGCCACTTATTCCTCATGTAACCTTGGACAATCACTTAATTTCTGAGTCTCAGACATTTCTTATCTCTAAAGTAGAGACAATAATTCTTACCCTAACTCCCTGCCTGTGGTGAGCTGAGGTCAAATGGTTCCATGTGTAAAAAGAATGTTATATGGTGCAAAGTGTTCAGAATATAAAAGGGATTACTATTAATAAAGAATGAGAATTAGTTACTGACTGGGCATAGGGTGAGGGAGAAACTGAGATTAAGAAACATTTTAGGCCTAAATGATTACTGAGGGTTTGGGTCTTCTCGGACCCTGCCCTTTGGGCAAAAGCTTGGAGTCTGGAGAATTTCTTTCAAGGGTAAATAATGCTCCCTATGACTCCTGGGCTAGAATTCCCTCTGCCAGGCCCATCTGGGGCAAGGCCACCTCTTCCTCAGAGAAGCCTCTGCCTCCGGTTCCCACCAGGTCTTGCCCACTGATAAGGAAGGGCCTGTGCAGATGCTACCCCCCCCTTTCACTAGCTGGGACTGATGATTTAAACTCATTATTGTAGAACGCCACCCCAACAAAGAGGTCCTGTAGCTGGCCTGGAATCCCCGATTCGGGCTCAGGAAATGCTCCCAGTCGGAAGTGAAAAGACCAAGGCGGCCCCAGGAGGCCATTTTCTTCAACAGAAGCAGAGGCCTGGGGGCGAGGCCCTTTAGCTCCGGCTCTCCCGGCTCTCCCGGCGCACGCCCCGCGCTTTCCGATTCCAACCCTAAGAGAGGCGCGGCCGCGAATCACCATTTTGCATTAGCCTCTGGGACGGAGGCGGTCCCAAAAGACCAGGCTAGTGGCGAGCTGGGACTGGACTTCCTCGGTTCAAGGGGCAAGGCCGGACGGAGGGTCATCGTCAGCCGGGACTCGAACCCGCCCTCTCATTTTCCGCGGCCTAGTCCCAGGTTGCTATGCTAAACGCAGTCACGCTGCCCCTTTAAGGCGGACTTTTTATTCATTTGTTTACTTCTTGATGCGCTTTTCGTTTTATTACAAAATATGTTCACAATATCCTTCCGCAAATGCGAACTCCAGGCGCTAACCACACACCTTGAAGTCATTACTATAATCTTAAGATTTGAGAGTTAATAGCCGTGGGCCAACTTCTCTCTTTATAGAATTTAATCCTCTTTTACACTTTGGGGACTATTTTTTAGGAATAAACCATTTTTGCTTTAATTAACAAATGCTTATGAGTTTCACAACCCTTACACTGAGGACAAGATACGATAATATTTTTTGAAACGAACCTTTCAGTAAAAATATTCTGTGTGGGCCCTCATAGGTCACCGAATCTTCTCGTATTCCTGAAGCATAATGGTATGGTCCAGAACCCGCCCCATCTTCTCTGCGATTGGCCCTCCTTCCAAAGCGAGACGTGTGTCTCTTGACCAATGGTTTCTCACGTTTCCCCAGCGAAGGATAAGCGATGGAAGGAGTCAGCCTGGTAGACGCCCCCTACGCGTCCTGGGATTGGCTACGTCGCACGGCGCGCGAGGACGGCGGGCATAAAAGATAGGAACTACGACTCCCGACTTCCCTCTATGGGGACTCCATTACGCATGCGAATGGGCGGAG